GGCGAGCTGTACACTACTTGTTCGGGGGCAGCCTTATAGGCCATAAATGAGTCTAAAGAAAGAAAGAAAGAAAGAAAGAAAGAAAGAAAGAAAGAAAAACATTTATTGTCAACCATTTTTACATATACATTTGACAATTATACACTTTACACACATATATATATATATATATATACAGCCTTGGCCAGAAGTATTAGGCACCCTACATTTTACTAAAAATAATAATTAAAAACAACTTATACTTTTTGAATTGATTTATTACCATTAAATTACACAAAAAAGAATAAAAAAAACTTAAAATCTAGTCGGTTCTTCTTTGGATTTCATTACTGCACTAATTCTAGCTGGCATGCTGCGTACAAGCATAGTGCAATCCTCCCTTATAATGGCATGCCATTCTTGTACTAACCCATTTTTAATGCCGTTTTCGATGTAGTACTATGCTCTTTAATCATGCGCTTCAAAATGCTCCAAAGATGCTCAATTGGGTTCAAATCTGGGGGCTGTACTGGCCCATGTAACAATACAATGTTGTTTTCGGTAAACCAATATATCAAAGTGACAAGGTACATTGTTTAGCTAGAATATAACTCCGTCTAAGTTGGTATCGCCGAAAATACTCGTTTGCGAAGGTATAAGCGCAGTTTCAAGCACTTTTATGTACTTTTCGCTGTTCTTATGACCTTCACAAACAAACATTTCGTCAACCCCTTGAGCATCCATGCAGCCCCAGATCATTACGCTGCCTCCTCCGTGCTTTACCGTAGGTACAACGCAATCTGAATGGTATTCTTCGCCCACACGTCGCTTCACGAAGGTCACACCTGGCGTTCCAAATATCTGTTGAAAAATGAAAATAAAAAGTTTTTTTAAACTACCCTAACTTTTATTATTTCAGTAAAATAAATAGCTGACAATGATTATTAATAACAAAAGCAGTAAAATTTACTTACTTCAAAGTTAGATTCGTCAGACCACACCACATTGGCCCAATCTTCCTCACTAAAATGTCAATGCCGTAGAGCCAATTCAAGCCGTTTTCTTTTGTTAGCTTCTGAAAGCCAGAGCTTCTTCCTGGCTTTGTATCCTTTTAAGCCCGTTTCTTGAAGTCGTCTTCTGGTGGTCCGAGCACTTATTGGCTTTCCAGCCTCTTCGGACAAAGCAGCAGCAAGGTTTGATGATGTTTTCTTCCGATCTTTCATAGATTCGCGTATTAATTTTCTATCCTCATGCTTCGAAGTCACACGTTTTCTGCCTGTTTTTGGATTATTAGCATGACTGCCAGCCTGAGCAAACCGTTTGATGGCAAATTGCACGGCGAAACGCGAACATTTCACTAACTTAGTATATTCTTTTTGCGACTTCCCCTGTTCATGGAGAAGTTATATTTTTTACTAGATTTTAACTAATTTCACTTATTTTCAGTATTTTTAAGTAAATTGGGCGTCAATTTAATCAATGAGTTAGATATAAAAACTTGTTTACTAATTAGAGTCTTGAATACAAGTAACCAAACATTAACTAATAATAATGCAAAAAATTGAATCCTTTCTTTTCAGTCACCAGGTGTTTTATGTACCATCAAAAATAGAGTTTTGCTTTTCTAGGAAGGTATTTGTGACCCCGGTATGCCATCTAAGATAAGCATTTATTCATTGTTCAATTGGTAAACATGAATTGTGCATTTTTCTGGGGTGCCTAATACTTTTGGCCAAGGCTGTATATATATATATATATATATATACATACACATATGCACACCCACACTCATATACATATATACATACATACATACACACTTAGAACAATTACAATAATTTATCTTATATTATTTCTAAATATGGTTGGCAACATGGCTGACACTCAGCATATGCCGTGATAGCTAACTGTCACGGCGCTGGTATTCTGTGCCTGCCATTAGTGACAACACGTACAGCTCGATGTCAGTTATTTTGACCTTTGACATCTGTCAGATGTCATTATTGTTACTGACAGCAAAATTTTTACACGTGTTCGAGACCTGCCACGTACACAATTACAATTTTAAAATTAGTATTAAGGAACAGAAAAAAACTACAGTTACTAAAATACTACAAGCACAACAAGAAAAAACACAACTCAGAGGGATTATTCTCCGCTACATCAAGCCACCATCCACCGCCGTGCCCATCGTGCAGATTCAAAAGGTAATTTAATTTAATTAGACAATTTTTGACTATTAATGAGATATTCTCTAAGACATTTACTAAAACTATATTTTGTGGTTTTAGCACGTAATGGAGGCGGAATATTATTCCAGCAAGACGTAGCGGAGTATCTGAAAGAGCCCCTGAAAGACGCAGTTCTATGTTTTTGAGTAGTAAGCAGATGAGAGGAGGCCCTTGTGCGATAGTTATGACTATCACGAGACCACGACAACTTTTCAACAAGATATGAAGGTTCATTTGTTTTAATGATTCCAAATAAGAGAGTAGCAAAATGTAACTGTCTTCTAAAATTCATCTTCAACATATTTCCTTTGTTGAGATAAGGTGTGACATGTGCACGTGGAGGAACATGATAACAAAAACGTGCGCAAGCATTCTGTACACAAGGTCCAAATGTTGCATCTGCATAATTCAACTTTGATAATACAAGAGACTCACACAACTTTATCCTCTATTCCACCGAAAGATATTGTCTAATTTGGTATAAAAGCTTAAGTCGATAAAAACTATTCCTGGTGGCCTCAATTATATGTTTCTCAAAATTCATGTTAGAATCAAAGAGAACTCCTAGATTCCTTGCCTCCGTTACTCTTTCAATAGATTTCCCATTTATAGAAACAGGCAATGTCATACGTTCTATAATACCATTCACCTGTTTCTTTGTACCAAGAATTATATATTTTGATTTGGTTGGATTAAGCACCAGGCAGTTCTTATTTGACCACAGACTAACTCTCTCTAGATCTTCATTTCATTTTCTAATACTGCCTAGTGTATTCTTCGGGTGACAATCAATATACAATTGTAGATCATCTGCGTAAAGATGATATTTGCAATGCTGCATGCAATCAATGATATCAGCACTGTACAGAATAAAAAGAATTGGACCAAGAATTGATCCTTGAGGCACTCCTCTGTGTACTGATCTAGGTGCTGAATAATTTCTTGATCCACAATTTGATTGAATCTCCACTATCTGCATTCGTCCAGTGAGATAACTATGGAACCAGGAGACTGCGCAAGAGTCAAATCCATAGTATGACAGTTTTGACAGCAACAATAATGAATTTATTGTTTCGAAAGCGCGAGAAAAATCTAACAAAGCCAAGACTGTCCCCCTACCCTGATCCTGCTCATTTATTGTATTGTCAATAACATCAAGTAAAGCGGTAGTGGTGCTGTGTGACTTACGGAAACCTGACTGAAATTTTGGGAGTATATTTTCTTTATCTAAATAAGTAGTAAGTTGTCGACTTATAGCCCTTTCCAATAACTTGGAAATACAAGGGAGAATATTTATTGGACGAAGATCCTTATATTCAGTTGGATTTGAAGATTTCGGTATTGGTTTTATTAGAGAACACTTCCATAAGTCTGGGAAGATGCCTGAGGTAATTGATTTATTTACTATAGTAGTTATGACACTAAGTGTATATGGTAAAGTGAGCTTGATCATGTCAAGTGAAATAAGATCAGTACCCTGAGCATTGGTATTAAGTGTCCTAATAATATTTATGATATCCTGTTCTGAAACCGTGCTAAACTGAAATACAGATTTACTAAATCGGTTGAATTCATAATATGTAAGTTCAGACAATTCAACAGAATCTCTACCCGGTAAATTCAGGAAATGGCTGTTTAAGGCATCTGGGTTGTCAAATGACTCAGGAATACAGTCCCCACGCATTTTCTTTGGGAGAACAGATGTTTTAAGGTTGGACCATAACTTTTTAGGATTATGAATGTGATTGTTAATGTATTTGTTATAATAGGCAAATTTCTCTGAAACAATGGCTGCTTTTACTACGGCTTTCATGTCTTTATAAAAAAGTTTATGCATTTCTAATTTTGTTTTTTTATACCTTTTATGGCTGTCGTCTCTGATCTTCATCATTTGTTTCAGTGTGTCTGTCAACCATGGAGGAGAAGGATGCTTAATTGTCAGTGTTTTCACTGGAGTATGGAGATCAAATAATCCAAGCATAAAATTATTGAAGGCTACAACCATTTCATTAACATCAGCTAGTCCCTCTATATACTTCCAATCTATGCTGTTGCAATCTTTATTGAATTTTTCTATTATTATATTCTTTAGAGGTCTGTATGTAGTACAGTATGGTACCGGTTTAACTCTGTTTAAAGATAGCTCCGCTGATATCAATGCATGAGCACCCAATTCAGGTATATAATTAACTGTCACCTTTTTAATTGTAGGAGTATCAGAACAAATTACGTCAATCAATGTTTCACTGTGGTCTGTGAAATGTGTTGGTTCATTTACATATTGATTAAGAGATGTGCACTGAAGAAAATTTTGAAAAAGCCTTACTTTGTTGTCATTGTTTATGGTTGGTCTATATTGGACCGCAGTTATAGTTATGTGTGTTTCTGCCGGCCGGCCACCGTTTGTGTACATTACAATCAGTCGCCAAAATACAACCGAGAAGACACAACGTCGTTTCATTTAAATTTAAGTACAAAATTTCCACTTCTCCCAAAGCAAACAGAAAGCAGCTTTAACACAATCAACATATGGTCGAAATCGAGCCGGATTGCAATTGCATTGTTTACCTCCGTTGAGAACAAAAGACCCACTGTAACTCGGGTCTCAAGACAAAAGGAGTTCGAGAAACATCTAATTTTTGTGAGTTATAATGAATAATAGAATTACAACGTTTTAAAACTTGAACATTATAAACATATTCAAGCTGTTTACTGCTGTTGGGAGTGAGCAGCAATACAAAGTGGATTTTAGAAGATTTGAAGTGTTTACGAAACGTCGTTTTAAACAAGATGTCCGTTGTTGAACAATACATGACAGTAATAGAAGACACAGCAAGCTTATTACAAAGAGCACAAATCAATTTAAAGAAGTGTCCAAAGCAACGATTAACACAAGGGTACATAGAAACTAGATTAAAATGCATAGAAGAATATTGGAACACTTTCAAAGAAGCTAATCAAAATCTATGCAAATCTACACCTCGAGATAAACGTGCCGACATACCTTACTTTGTCAATGAAGATTATTTTATTATAGAAGACCTGTATTTGTGTTTAGAAGCGGACCTGAAAGATATGTTACGTGGTATGCAGACTCGAAGCAAAGAGCAACAATCGACTTCATATAGCAATGTAAACGTTGAAGAAAGGACTTCACAAGTGAAATTACCCAGAATTGAAATCCCCTTATTCCAAGGGAAATATGAGGCCTGGGCTACATATCATGATTTGTTCACATCATTGGTGCATAATAACACATCACTTAGTAAAGTGCAAAAGTTACATTATCTGAAGACCAGTACTGCCGGAGAAGCAGCTTACCTGTTGAAACACATACAAGTTACAGATAACAATTACAATCAAGCATGGGATATTCTCAAAAACAGGTATGGAAACAGGCGTATGATACTTGCCTCCATTTTAAAGCGATTGTTTGGCCAGAAAAAGATATCTACACAGTCAGCCTACAATATAAGATCATTACTAGATACCACTTCAGAATGTATTAATAATTTACATAATTTATCTATACCTACGGACTCTTGGGATCCAGTAATTATATATTTGGTGGTGCAAAAATTGGACTTGGAGTCACATAAGGAGTGGGAAGAGTATGCATACAAAGAAAACTCAGAAGATTTACCTTCGTGGACGGAGCTGAAGAAGTTTCTGGAATCTAAATTTCGTACATTGGAGCTTGTTAATCCCTATACATCATCATCAATAAAAGAAAGGCCAGTAGCTACTAAGGAACGAACTTTTCATGCTACAACTACTGAAAAAACGTGTTTCATGTGCAAAGAGAATCATACACTGTGTCATTGTAAAGAATTTGCAAAAATGGATCCTCAACAAAGAAGTCACTACGTGAAGACCAATAATTTATGTTATAATTGTTTATTGCCCGGACATACAGTATTTAAATGTCGAATAGCCATGACATGTCGCATATGTCATAGGCGCCATCACTCTCTACTGCATGAAGATAAGAATAACAACGCTAACACGTCGGGTCACCTGGAGAAGTCATTACAACCTAACGTGTCAGCGCATTTTAGAGTAGAGGAGCGAGATTACAATACAGTGATTGCGTCGAATTATAGCAGTAATTGCGGGAAGGAGACAGCCTTTTTAGCAACCGCAATGGTGACAGTGAAGAATAAAAAAGGACATACTGTTGTATTAAGGGCATTAATTGATCAAGGGTCTGAACAGAGTTTTATAAGTGAAAAGGCGGCTCAATTATTACAATTAGAGAGAACACCAATTAAGGCAACTGTGGTTGGAATGGGATCTATGAAGTCACAATTAAAGCAAGTGGTGCAGGTTCAGGTTTCATCTAAATGGGACAACAATAGCAGTCATCATATATCAGCATATGTGATGTCAAAACAACTGACCACCAAAATACCACAGAGGGTTGTCACTGGACATAAGTGGCAACATGTACAAGGACTTATCTTAGCCGATCCAATATACTACAAACCTGGGGTAATTGATTTGCTTCTGGGTGTGAAGGTTTATTCAAAAATAATAGAAAATCAATTAATCAAAGGGCCACCAGGGACTCCAAGTGCACAAAAAACATCCCTGGGCTGGATCCTATTTGGAGAGATAAATACAGCACCGAGCAATGAACCGCTCGTTGTAATGCATGCTCAAGTAGATGTAGAAGAAAACATAAAAATTCGGAATGGAAACACAGAAAATACAGTAAGAGAACGTAACAAAAATCCAAAATTCAAAGAGAAATGTACAACATTTATGGAACATGCACTTCAAAATGAGATTAATATTAAAAAATGTACAGGATGTTCTTATTTACCAAAGCATATGAAGACAATCGGAGTATCCTGTAGAGAGAAAAAGCAAAGCGTAAAATATAAAAACAGATTTATAAACTAGAAAATAACTAAAACAAACAAATTAGAAGATACAAGAAATAAAAACTTCACGAAGCAAATACATTATATTGAGAAATTAACCGAAGAAATAGACTACTACTAAAGAATACAGAAAAAGTGAAAAGGAAGTGTAGATTAAAATCACTAAACCCATACCTGGACAAGAATGATATTCCCAGGGTGGGCGGAAAGTTAAAACATGCAGAAATAAGTCATGATCAAACATTGTACAGTGTAGTTTTAAGTTACATTTGTAAAAAGAACTTACAGTCCTTTTGGTGGGCGGTATGGTTGGTCTATATTGGACCGCAGTTATAGTTATGTGTTTCTGCCGGCCGGCCACCGTTTGTGTACATTACAATCAGTCGCCAAAATACAACCGTCAAGACACAACGTCGTTTCATTTAAATTTAAGTACAAAATTTCCACTTCTCCCAAAGCAAACAGAAAGCAGCTTTAACACAATCAACAGTTTAACAAATTTATATTAAAATCTCCCAACAGAAACAAATGGTCAAATCCAGTAAATGCAGTTATGGACTCTGTCAGTGCATCCAGAAAAAGATTGATGTCTTGCCATGGTGGACGGTATGCAGTGCCAATAATGACTGTGGCCGTATTTATTTTAAAACAAATCCACAACTGCTCGACATTCCCATCATCCGGGTGGGGACACACCCTGGCACCTACGTTATTTCGTATATAAAATCCTACCCCCCACCACGTCCTCCTCGCACTGCGCACAGTGGGAACTTTGACTCATTTTCATCTCATAAATCTATAACTTCTGTATTAATAAAGATATATACATGATTTTTTTTCCTGATAATCTTAAATATATATACTTTTAAATAATGTATGCTTTGTGAGTAAAAAATATTTCTAATAGTTATAAAAAATGTAGGAATACAAGAAATATAGAATTTGTAGACTTACATTTATGTCCTAAGAAGTTTATACAGAAATAAGTAAAAGTATCTACGTAAAAAACAAAAATTTTTATAAAGATGGCTTACAAGTCACTCAAGAGCTCCTTTGCTTCATCAAAAAGTACTAAATATTTTTAATTGGAAGGTTTTCTTAAACTTGTTATATATGGGTCAGAGGTACATAAAAATGCGTGTAGAACATCTTTGTTAGAGGCTACTCTCGAACATTGTCTTGCATGATGAAGCCTGAACTGTTTATAGTCTTTGTTCCATGACTCTTGAGCATCTTCTGAAAGTTGCCCGAGAGGCAAGACAGAAAAGTGACGTGTCACACGTTCACATTTCATTTCATAACATAAAACAGTTTTATTAATTCCTCATCTATACCAGTGATTTTTAATGTACAATGATAATATTGGAAAAATCTTCTGACTGTATTCATCATCATTAGTGTTGCTATCAAACAACTCCTCATATTTTTATACTGTGCCTTGTTCAGAAGCAATTTTATGAAAATGTTAAGAGCTAAATGTTTTGAATATGCTGTTATATGTGCCGGTTCATTAATAAGATTACTCATTAAGATTGCTCATTTCATTCTAGTTTTCTGCCGGCAATGCTCGTAAAATATCAACGATGAAACCCTTAAACCCTGTACATATGAGTTCAGTATGAAGTCCACAGGTATCAAGCAATCACTTGTTTTTCCGTTTCTTTGTCCGAACTGTCTTCGTACGTTTTAGAAGGTCTGCCTCTTTTCTCTGTCGAAGTAGGAGGTTCAGGTTCGCATGTAGTTTTTTCTAGATTTACAGTGAAAATACCATCCTATCAATTGCTATTTTATTTAAAAACTGTTCTTTCTTTCGACCACATTTCGTATAGCGTTGACGAAACTGAGTTATGAAGAACTTCTGAATACTTGCGATAATTTTTGCTATATTCGCATCTGGAGATTCGGTAAAATTATTTCGTATATAGTTTGAGATAGAATCAACATAATTTGTATCACTTTAAATCAATAAGAGACTTAAGTCGCGTCTGGTACACGAGAATTCACTCATTGGGGCGAGATGAGTAATTAACAATTGTTTAGTAATGACAAATGCTTATGAAGAACTGTAATATTTCATATGCAAATACATACACTATTTTATACTTACTAATGATCATATACGTGTACAAAATTAATTGATAAAAAATATTTATCATTATGCGGTATAGAATAGGTCTGTATGGGAATGGGAACTATATACTGTGTGAAATAGTTGATAAAAGTAAGGCAAAAGATAAAATATAAAGTAATAATTGAGCAAAAAGTATTTTTTTGAGTATTCAGACAGAGAATCTCAAATAAAGAAGAAAATCTTAATATACGTACTTAGAAAAAACAAATCTCACCATGATATTATACTCGATTTAAATATTTTACGCAGTGAAACTGCAAAAAAAAATGTTATGCCATCAAATTAAATTATATTTCCTAATAAATAAAACCAAATTTAGAACTTCGGCAAGCTTCGGCAACTGTCAAATCTCCAAGTGAAAGTCTGAGAAAAGAAAATAGTACATATAACGATACATGGATTTTTAGTTAAATAATATTCGACTAAACTAAATATATTTTTATTTTATAGTAAAGTACACATTCTAAGCATTCTAAAATGGTATCACACTATATGACTTGATATTGTTTTGATACTATAAACTTATACTAAACAAATTTAAGTTACAAAATTATTTTTGTATTTTTTTCATTCCTTGACTTTAGAGGCTCTATTCTATGAAGTATGAATAGTCAGAGATTTGAATCATATTTATAATGATAGAGTAACTCTTTGGCTATAAGTTGAGGTATTATACATGCACATCCACGGAGTTTTAGAAAAAGTATTTATGAGATGGCTTTCTTAGGCGAGTTCCCACTGTGCTGCGTCGGGTCGCGGGGCATGGCGCAAGCGATAATCTCGTAGCAACGGCGCACGGGCCTCCTCCCCTCCCTAATCCACGTCTCATTTATTGCCACAATATCTATAGAATATCGGCCCATGGCGGCTACAAATTCGTCCTGTCGAGTACACAAAGAACCTGCATTGAAAAGTCCCAACTTAACATGACGCGATTTGAACTCTATTTTAAGTTTTGTAGCAATCTATATATACATTGTCCGATATCTATATAATATGTTGCACAAATGCTATGACTTGTTATAAAATGCAGGTAAATATATACTAGATACATTAGACATAACAACCACATGACGTCAATTAACACAGCCGCACATCTACTCCACCAATTGACTAAAAAAATTAACATTATATAAGCCGACATTCCATAGTAATAATTCAGTACACTAAAATATATTTTTTCCCACCCATTCTTCATTATATTACTATACATATTACTACACATACAAAGAATTGTCCATATACTATATTTCATGGTGGTTATTCCTAACTGTTCTTCTACTAACAAATATAAGAGCCAATATATATTTCTACATTTCATGTACATACACATATAAACATTAATAAAATGAATCAAATTACAAGAGCAATGTACACATACTACTAGTGCAAACAATTTATAACTATAGCTTAAACCAAAAAAATAAAGAGAATTTGCTAAATAAATGTTATACTGATATATACTTATCATTATTATTTGTACACAAATACAGGGATCACAGCACCCATTGCCTAACACTATAAAATTATTCCTACATTTGCTAATTCTTTGATTATAAATAATAAATATATTAAAATGCAACCTATACTTTATTATTAGGACTAACCACTTCACTGCCAAACACCTTAATAATGTCTGTTTCAAGTTTTATTCTATGCGCTATACCGTCCTGGCTCCTGCGTGCAAAAATCTTTCCATTTCTTGTCCATATATACCTCCAGCCCTTTTCACGACCAGCTTCTCGGGACTTGTAGAACAGATTTCTATTGAGTAAGTCTTTCTTTGATATAGACTCTATGTGCATCTCTCGATACTTCCAGGGTCAGTGTCGTAATTCCTCGCCTTACTCGAGCGCTTTAGAGCAACCCACCACCAACCCATGGCCATTCCAACCTCTCGGTTATACTGGCCGAATCTGCGGGGAATGCGCGCTGAAAAGCACGCATTCTCTTGATCCCTACAAATTATTTCTACTCCTGTCCCCTCCGATCGCTTTCTCCTCTTCTGGGGCAGCGGACGAATCATTGACGGCTTCGGTGCCGGGCAGCTCTCCGTCTTCAGCGGTGTCCTTCCTTCTTGAACGCGTACCACCAGCAGTCCTCTCGTGCTCGCTCCGCCTCCGGTGCCACTGATGCGCGAACTCCCGCAGCCTCCTAAAATTCTCCGCAGTAGACACCAGGTCCGGGTAGTACACCGGACCCTCCCCTTCGCCTTCACCGCGACGTATCCCCTCCAACAGCTTCCCCCTGAGATCGGAATATAGGGAGCACTCCCACACAACGTGGTGGAGGTCCTCCTCCGATTCCCCGCAACCACAGCCACTCGACTCGTAGAGTCTCATGGCGTGCAGTCGCTTACCGAAGCAGCCGTGTCCAGTCAGGATCTGTGACGTCTCGTAATCGGGTTCAACCCACGGAGACGCCAACCTAATAGCCACATCCGGAAAGTATCGGTAGAGCTCTCTTCCATCCGCGGAGGAGTGCCAACGCTCCTGCCATTCCCCGACTATAGCGTCCCATACCCCGCGTTTCCGTCTGCTCAACTCCGGCTTTGGCGCGGACTCGCGCTCCTCATCCATTCTGGCAGCACGGATTACCTCCAGGTCCGCAGGCAAGACCCCCCCAGTACTGGTAGCGCCGCCGTACTCACGCTCCTGTACGCTTTCGTAAGGAGGATGAGAGACGGTCGCTGCAGCCTCAGGACTATACTACGTACGACATGGAGACTGATTCTCTCATGCCATACGGGTGCAGCATACGTCAACGTGGCTACGTAGGTGCCCTTGTAGAGAGTGCGGAGGGCCGGATAACGAATGCCCCAGGAAGACGCCGATACTCTCGACATCTTCCCGAAACATTTGGCCGCTCGCTCTCCAATCGTTGTCGCATGCTGCACGAAGGACATCCTGTCGTCTAGCGTCACTCCAAGAATGGTTGCCGCCGTGACGGTCCGGACCGAGCCGGCACCCATCCTGATGACTGGGGGCCGCTGGAGCTTTCCCTTTACGGTCATCGTCATGGACTTGCCTGGGGAGAACTCCAGCCGATTACGGGCTCCCCAGTCGAGGACGAGCGAGAGCGTGGCTTTCGCCTTGCTCTCGATGCTCGCTCGGGAGTCGGCACCGATCAGGACCGTAACATCGTCCGCGTACGCAACCATCCTTACTCCCTCAGGTAACGGGAGACGAAGCAGGTCATCCATCAGTAGGTTCCATAGCGTGGGACCCAATACCGAACCTTGTGGACATCCCATGGTGCATTCCTTCCACAGCACCCGGTCACCGGTGATGAGGCACACGCGGCGACCAGCGAAGTAGCCCGCCAGCATCCTGAAGATGTTGGGCGGGCAACCACCCTGTTTCGCCTTTACCAGAATCATCGGCCACCAGGCGTTGTCGAAGGCACCCGAGATGTCGAGGAAGATGGCCTGTACATACTTCCATGGTTCATGCCGCGAGTCTAAGATAGCCCTAAGCGCGGAGGTGGTGGACCTACCGGGAGAGAATCCGTGCTGACAGTCGGAGATCCGAGAACTGATCGTCGGAGCGCTTTTCAATATTACGCGTTCTAAAATCTTTCCAAAGACCGAGAGGAGCGTGATCGGACGATACGCCTTCGGGTCGGTCAGCGGCTTGTCGTTACCCTTAGGCAGGACAAGCAGCCGACCTTCCTTCCATATGCCGGGGAAAATACCGGCTTCTACGCACCGCGCATAGACGAAGTGGAATTCGGCTTCCGCCGCCTTCCACGCCTGTCTGATTATTCGGGAAGAGAGCCCGTCGAGCCCCGGGGCGGTATTGGGTAGCAACTTAATGATGCTTCCCAGATCCTGTCTAGATAGAGGGGGCGCAGAGTCGCCCGAGGGCGTGAGCGCAGCCAGTACGCGCACCTGACGGTGGTGCTCCGTGTCCCTAGACTGATCGTCATCAGGACACAGAGCCCCAACAATTGCCCGCATGGATTCGCCCACGTCCCTCGCGTGGCCTTCAGCAAACACTGTGCCGTTTATTATATTACTGGGAGGTCTAATCCTCCCGCTCGCAACCCTGTAGGCCTGGCCCCAGGGGTCCTGGTTGCCAGAGCCTGCCAGGTGCCTAAAATGTGACCTCTGCACCTCCTCCATTCTACGTCGGTAGCGCAGGCGCGCTTCCCGATGAGCCGTTCCGGTGTCAGCCTCCACTTGTCCACCTCTATGCCTAGACGCCTGCCAACGTCTCCTAGCTCTGGCTGCGATCCGCCGCAGATCATCAAGCTCGGGGGTCCACCATTCGTAACCGGTATTTCCCCGGCCACGCTTCTCCCCCAGGCATTCTCTGGCACATCTGCTGATCACGTTGGTGAAGGCAGAGGCCAGTTCCGCCGGGGGGAGAGCGGTGCAGAGGTCACCCATACGAAAGTGAACCCGCCTACGGAAGAGTTCCCAATCCACATTCCGGTCCCGATACCTAGGGGGATTTTTAACCGGCTCTGCGCACGACGCGAGCCGATCGC